CCAGGCAGTGAACCTTCACGGAAGCAGACTGATTGTCCTGCCTTGCTTCCGGTAGCGGCTAGCCCGAGGGCCGAACCTAACACAGGGCAGGGGGCGGTCCGGAAGGAGGGCGGGGCCTGGGAGGAGGCGGGGCCTGTGGCCTGGGAGCAGGGTTGAGTGCCAGGGGCCTGGCTGAGGTCCGAGGGCGGAGCGGGATCTTGGGAGAGGACAGGGCTGGAGTTTGGGGAGGAGGCAGAACCGAGGGTCCCAGAGTACAGCCAGATCCCCGGGAGGCGGCGGAACCGGAGTCCCAGGGGGTGGTCCTGGTATTCGGGACAGAAACGGGTCCCAGGGAGGAAGCGTGGCCGGGCTCCAGGAACAGGTCCCAGGGCCCAAGGGCGGAGCCTGGTCTCGGGCGAGGAGGCGGGTCTCAGAGGCGGGGCCAGGTCCCAGGGCGGGGCCGGCCGGTGCGCGTGCGCTCACCCGCGCTGATGCTCCAGCCAGGCCAGTTCTGCGCGCACCTTCTCCTCGAGCGCCATCTCGCGCAGGCGCAGCAGCGCAGCCTGGTGCTGTGCGCGCAGCTCCTCCTCCCGTAGGCTCTGCTCCAGCATCTGCAGTTCAAAGCCCTGGCGGGCCGGCCACCTACGCATCACTGCCGGCGCCAGGTGCTCGCCCGAAGGGAGCGGAGCCTCGGGGTGTACTGCTGCCTCCGGGAAGCCCTCCGGCCTACTGCCCTCTCCTTTCTGCGGTGGACCCCTCTCGACTGATCCCCGACTCTAGGCTGTGCACTTGCCCCCGCACCAAAAGGTTTGATAAAGGCCACGCCACCTGCCCTGAAATGTGCACCTGGGCGGGGCCAACCCTGAAGCCCCCCTGTTAGGATGCCCACCATCATCTGTCACCCGGGGCTGGAGGACTGGGCTGGAGTCCCCATCAGTTGGCAGCATGAGTGACATGTATGGGATACCCACAGCACAGACCCTCTGGGGTGGCCCCACACCATGGGAGGCAGCCTAATGCAGGCTGCCAGTGCTTCTGGTGGGCCCTGGGCTGTGCCACACAGGATCTCTCCCTGTACCTGGTCAGTGCTGTCTTGGATCCTCCAGTTATGCCAAGGGTCCAGTCTTCGCAGGGGCATATGGGAGAGGGTTCTGTCAGGTCTCCCTGTCTCCTGCAAGGACACTGAGGACAGAGCAGCAGTGGTTGGGAAGGTAGGAGTTCCAAGCCACCCATGTCCGGGGCCTTTTCCACGAAGGGCCTCAGAAAGGTAGGCCTGCCTGGGATGGCTTAATACGCCCCCCAGCTTCACAGGGAGCCCTCACAAGGCCCCCGTCACTTCCTTCTTAATGCAATGCTCTGGTGTATGACTCTACCCATCATGTGAGAGATCAGACAGGAGGTGAAATGTCTTGAGGGTGACCTAGCCCAATGGCTGTGCTTCCATGGAAGGAGACAAGCCCAGAGAGGGAGAGCAGCTCATTCGAGGCCTGGCACCAAGTGGGTGGCAGGGGTTGGGCAGAGAGCAGAGTCCACACCTGGGCTTAAGCCAGCCATCTTGCTGTCCAGCCTGCTGGCTGCCCCACCCTAGTGGGATGGACTTTTGCTTTCTGTCAAGTTAGAGTGAAAGTGGATAGGGTTTACCCTACCACCTGAAACTTAAAAAAAAAAAAAACCAAACAAACCCTATGACAGTGGTTTTCAAGACATGGGCATTAGGCAACAGAGGACAGTGACCTCTGAGCAGCAGAAAACAAGGTGAGACATGATCATCCTAGCTTCCTGTTTTGAGAGTTTCAGGCTGCAGCACAGGGAGGGGGAAGCTCAGAGGAATCAGAGCTGAGAGTCCAGTGAGACCAAGGCAGCTGGAGGTGATGAGACAGAGAGTCCGAGAGGAGAGGGAGCTTCCGAGAGAGGGCCCAGAGCTCTGCGGAGAGAGCCCAGAGCTATTCAGGGTGTCCCACAGAGAACCCAGAGCTATTCAGGGTGTCCCACACAGAGAGAAACCAGAGGTCTGTGGAGAGAACCCAGAGATATTCAGGTTGTCCCACAGAGAGAGAAACTAGAGGTCTGTGGAGTGTCCCACAGAGAGAGAGCCCAGAGCTCTGTACAGTGTCCCCTGGAGTGTCCCATAGAGAATTTATCACCAAATATGTGCAAGGAAGCAATCTGGTGCTGGGGAAAGAAGCATCTGGAAGGATTAGAAGGCTGGGAATGGTGCCCATTTCCACCAGCCAGACTGGAAGACCTCGTGGTTCACAGGTCACCGGATAGAGTACACAGAAGGGTCTCGCCTCAGTCATGGGGAGTAGTGAGCCCCAGCCTGAGTGCTGCTCTGACCCACCCAAGAAACTGTAAAACCCAGCCCAGAATGGATCAGACCACTTCCAAATAACTGCATCTTGGGACAAAGCTGAAGGATGTCTGTAAAATACAAAACTTATAGTGCCCAACATGATACAGCCATGTCTGGCATCTCGAGACTCCCAGGCCTGCAAAGACCCAGGCTAACACAACCCATGATGAGAAGGATAATCTGTCAGAACTGACCCAGATCAGCACATGTTAGAAGTAGCAGAGGGGGCACTAAAACAGTTTTCACAACTGCAGGTCTTAGGTTGGAAAAGTTGAATAGGAACATGAAAGATAAAGAAATAACGAGAATATTGACACTAAGTGAAGAAGGTAACCAACGTTCCCGATCAACACCTCTAGAAACTGGAGTGGGATCAGGTTTTGCATGTATATTTTCACCAAAAATGAAACACTAATTTAAAAAAAGATTCGAGAAATGAAAACAAACATTTGAGATGAAAAATATATTGGATGGAATTAATGGCAGATTAGACACTTCAGAAGAAAAAAATAGTGAGCTTTAAGACACAGCAATAGAAATATCCAAAAGGAAACACAGAGGAAAAAAAAAAGAATCCAAGTACATGGAAAGAGTTCAACAAGCTCAAAACTTTAAGTGACCCTGAAAGAGAGGAGAGAAGACAGGACAGAGAGTGTGAAGAAATGGTGGCTGGAAATGTTTCCAAATTTGAAGAAAATTATAAAGCCACAGATCCAAGAAGCTTAACAGGCCTTAGGACAAGAAACAGGAAGGAAACTACACCAAAGTCCATTATAAAAAGCAGCCAGAGAAAAAAGACGGATACAGAGCAATGACAATAAGGATGACAGGAGACTGCTCCTTGGAGACAGTGCAAGCAAGACAGCAGTTGAGCAACGTGTTTGAAGTACTGAGAAA